CCTCAGCCTCCCAAGGCATGGGATTACAGGCTGAGCCACCGAGCCTGGCTATGTTCCGTTCTTTATGGGCTGCTGGAAACCTCTCACATGACTGAGCCTTCGGCAAAGCCAGCTCAGTCATACAATGCCTCATATTCACTTTTCCTCTTGTCTGTCTCACTTCCATTTTTCTTCACTCTATATCCCTGGGGAGGGAAACTTATAGGGTCTCAGAAAACAATACCCTAAAAGGAAGACCTCAAAAGCAAAAATTTCTGCCTTTCTCCTGCCTTCCTGTCTCTGGCTTCTTATCCTCCCCTGAGGTTAGCCCTAGGAACTTCCATCGCTCTTCCCAAGGCAGGCCATAGAAACCAGAACCCATCCCGGCTTGGTGGCTCAACCTGTAATCCTGTGCCTTGGGAGACTGAGGTGAGTGGATTGCCTGAGGCTGCAGGTTCGAGACCCGCCTAAGCAACTTGGCAAGATCTCATCTCTACAATTAAAAAAAAAAAATTATCCGGGCGTGGTAGCACGCACCTGTAGTTCCAGCTACTTGGAAGGCTGAGGCGGAAGGATTACTGGAGCCCATCAGGTCGAGGCTGCAGTGGCTGGGAGTGGCCACTGCACTCCAGTCTGGGTGACAGTGAGACACCAACTCAAAAAAAAAAAAGAAAAGAAACTGGAACCCCTTTTTCCCAAATCCATAAAACCTAAAAATATTACTCTAGCTTTCTCCCTGATTTTCTGTGTAAAACTGGCCATGAAGAGGTTATCTAACCTAACTTGTTTGATTGTAGGTCATAAAACCCCTGTGCCAAAGAGGGTACTGCCTTATGCCCAGAAGACAGGAATGCTACACAGAGAGGCCAAGCACAATCTGAACAGACAGGCCTTACTGGGTTTCTCCGTTCAGTCTATTAGCATTCGATCGCTTTTGTCCAATTATGTTTCTACACAGCTGTTCATACTTTGTTTTACCAAGCATAAAATCAGACAATCTCTTCTGTATTTTTAGGTCTCCTTCTTCTCCCTTTTTTGGGGGGGAGGGAGGGTTGGGATCTCTGTCACCCAGGCTGGAGTACAGTGGCATGATCACGGTGCACTGCAGTCTTGACCGCCTGGCTCAGATGATCATTCCACCTCGTTCTCTCAAGTAGCTGGAACCACAGGCATGAGCCACCAGACAGGCTAATTTTTTTATTTTGTAGAGACGAGGTCTCCCCGTGTTGCCCAGACTGGCCTCGAACTCCTGGGCTCAAACAATCATCTCAGCTTCAGCCTCCCAAAGGGATAGGATTACAGGTTTGAGCCACCACGCCCAGCAGGTCTTCATTCTGACAGCTCCTGTGTCCTGTAAAACTATAATCAAATAAACCGGGCTCCTTTGGTTCAGCCTGTAATCCCGTGCCTTTGGGAGGCTGAGGTGAGTGGATTGCCTGAGCCCGCGGGTTTGAGACCCGCCTGGGCAGGCGAGACCTCATCTCTACAATAAATCAAAAATTAGCTGGGCGTAGTAGCGCACGCCCGTAGTTCCAGCTACTTGGAAGACTGAGGTGGAAGGATCGCTGGAGCCCAGCAGGTCGAGGCTGTGGTGGCCGGGAGCGGCCACTGCACTCCAGTCTGGGTGACAGAGAATCCAAGTCAAACAAAAAACAAAAACTATGATCAAATAAATGTGTGTGCCTTTTCTCCTATTAATTGGCCTTTTGTCAGTGATTTTGGTGAACCTTTAAGGGCTTAGGGAGGTTTAAATGTAAGCATTTAAACTTTGCCTCAGGCTTTGTTTTCTGCAGAACCAGAGCAACAACACAAGGAACCTGTTATCTGAGGATCAGCTCAGGGCGTTTTCCATGAAACCCACATAGCAAGAACTCCCTTTGGTGGGACTTCAAGCCTTGCCTTGCCATTGTGTTCTACCTCCCACCAGGTCTTCTGCTCATGGGAACTAACTCCCTTCTCCAGAAAAAAAAAGGCTGAATGAAAAAAGCCTCCTTTGAATAATAGGAAGAAAGCAGTGTACATTTATTAAAACAACATATAACACAAACTCAGTTACCACCCCATACATCAGGGATAGGCGCTGAAATACAGTACATCATCCCTGTGAGAACTACCCAGTCCTCCCGCCAAGGAAGGGAAGTGGGCAGCTGTATCAACCTGGCTTCCTTCCCCTCTTTCTGACAATCGCCTGTCATACAATGACCAGGCATTATCATACAAAAGTTCCTTTACAAAAAGCACCAAGTTGGCATACATATACAAGTATATACAAAAATCACATTTTAAAAACGTACAAAATATTCTGTTTTGCACCAGCATACAAAAGTGTCCTGTGTGGTAGCTTCAAGCACGTTTCCAATTCTGGTTCAGGGGCTGCTGGACGCAGCAGTGAGGGTCCTACTCTACAGTCTGCTCCCAGAGCAGAGAGAAGACACACCTCCTCATTGCCCCTCCCACCCCGGGACCAGCACCAAAGCAGCTGGGCCCATCCCTGCCCTCCCCATTCTCTCTGCCTCTAGAGGGTCTATCGCTCATTCAGCTCCTTACTGGTGACCTGAAATAAATAAAAAGACAGAGGCACGTGATGAGACAGGGACTCAGGAGGACCCAAGACACTGTACCAAGCTACAGTGACAAATAAAACCATCAAACTCCAATTCCTTTAAAACATATTTTTAGGCTGGGCTCAGTGGCTCAGTCTGTAATCCCAGCACTTTGGGAGGCCGAGGTGAGTGGATTGCCTGAGCCCGCGGGTTTGAGACCCACCTGGGGCAACTTGGCGAGACCTCGTCTCTACAATAAATC